TGGAGGAAGAAGCAAGAATAACCTGCGCTATGCTGATGACATTACCCTGATAGCCGAAAATGCAAAGGATCTGCAAGCCCTAGTACTAAAAGTCAAGGAGCACAGTCAAAAAATGGGACTAAAATTAAATATAAAGACCACCAAATTAATGGCAACAGGTAGAACCACCAGCCTTAGACCTGGCAGTGAAGACAGCAAAGTGGTGGAGAGCTTCTGCCTTGTAGGACCAACCATCAACATTAAAGGAACAAGCAGTCAAGAAATAGCCTTTGGCAAGGACAACTGAGGCCCCTTTCTTCCTTTTTGTTCCCCTCCAGGTTGTTCAAAGAAGTTTATTTAAAATCAAGAAATATGCCACAAACTAGCAGTTGGTAGAGCAACCATGAAGACCTTGGAAAAGTTATTCAAATGCCGTGATGGGTCAATACCTACAAATCTCAGAATCATTCGGGGGCAAATCCAGGAAGCTAGAACTGTGAAAAAAACCCTAATGTTGTCAAGGGAAAGGGGGTGTCCTAAAGTAGTCAAGATTGAGTTTTCCTGTGGGTCCCAACAACACAGCTGGAATCCAGAGAGGTCTCAAGGACCTTCCTCTTGACTCTTCCATCCAGTTATGAGGGGTCTACATCCCAGGTGGGGTTGACTGATGCTAAACCCATAGAAGAGTTCGATCAGAGCTCCCAGGGTCTTTTTCTTTCCTTTCCTTTCAGGGAACGCAACCAGAGCAGGGGGGTGGCAGCTGTGCGCTTGAGAACACCCACACAGTGATTAAGGAAGCGCGAGAGGTAAAGGAGCCAGGAAAAAATGAAAGCGTCAAGTGTGCAGAGAGCAAGTCCACCTAGGTAAAAAAGAGGGTCCGTTTGGTGCAGGACACACCCAGGTAATTACACAAATGTCTGGGAGGCCCGACCTCCTGAATTCCATCACGCCCTATCAAAAGGACCTACCTTCCATGTATCCTCATCCCCCAGCCACCTTGGTGGGAGCACCCACTGATTCTGCCCTGGAGAAACCTGCCTGCAGCTCCTGGGGAAGTTGGGGTGACCCAGGAAGGAAGCCCACTTGACTCCTGGCTGAACCACATCCTTTCCCCCTTGCAGCAGGTCCTGCCCCACCTCGTTGCACGGAAGGTCGAACTCTCCTAACTCTGCCTGGAAGACTTGGCAAAGCCCGCTTGGCCAGGACAAGCGTTTTCACATCAGTTAGGAGACACTTTTCGTGACCGCCAGCTGTCCTTCACCCAGCCCTCTTCCACGCTTATCACCCACATTCTGAGACTTTTAAGACTTACGCAACGTTCACATATAACTGTTGTCCAAACTTTGCAGCCCTGACAATCTGGGATTCCAGATCCCGGAAGCCTTTACTACAACCCAGCCACACTGAGCAGTCGTTAAGAGAAAAAGAGCAAGATCATTTCATGAAGACTTACAACTGTGGCGGCTGGAAGGTGAATTGGCCCGCGGAGTGGGTGTGTCATTTATGGGACTGTTGGTGTCCTTGGCTGCCATTAGGTGCATTCTTTGTGGTTTGGTTCTATTTGTGAGCAAAACCCCCCACAAAATTTGTGAGTTTTTGTTAGCTGCCCGGTCACGGTTGCAAGGCGGGCGGCCGTATAAATTGATTGAAACAAACGAACAATTCCGGTCCAGGGAAAACGCAAGACGCCTCGCGAGCAGGCTGGGAGTGCATTTCACCCACCGAGTTCCCTCCTGGGCCACAGAGACCCCCCGTTCTTTCCGCACCCTCCAGAGCCATCAGCGGGCCCTTGCGAGAACTGGCCCCCGGCTCTTCCCTCTTCCCAGCATAGCCACCTCCTCCCCTGAGCAACCCCCGAGGGTCCCGGGCTCCTCTTCCTGTGGATCCAGCATGCTCCCTCCCCTGCCGCCGGACTCGCCCTTCAGCCACCCGAGCCTTTGGTTTTCGGCCGGGTTAAGGGCTGTGCCCTGGAGGAGAACGCCGGCCTCCTTTCCGGGAAGGCCACTCCGCACTTTGCCCCCTCCCTTTTATGCGGCTTCCACCAATTCCCGTTTCTTCCAGGGGCTCAAGTCTTCTCCTCCTCCAAGACACGTCGTACGTAGCATTTCAAGCTTAAAAAAAAGGCTCCTAATAACAGCAGGGGCTTTACTCACTTTCAGTGCATTACAATCTCATCTGGGTTTCGAGCTACAGTAGCAGGTTGCCCTCCCCGCCGTAAGACCCCTCCTCCCCTCAGGGACACCCAGCGCCAGCTTACTCTCCCCTGGCAAGTGCACGGTTTGCTAAACTAAGGATTTGGAAACTGCCTGGGTGGCTTCCTTCATGGGAGGGGCTGCCACCCTGAGCAGGGCAGGGCCCTCGGGACCCCTCCAGAGCAGAAAAGCCTTTCCTCCCCACAAAAACAGTGCCCCAGAGATAAATTAAAGAGTGCCTCCCCCCAGCCCCCCAAGTCCGACCGTGGGACCTAAGCATCTTCATGTTCAGTGCCTCTGCAGCCAGCTCCCTGCTTGAACGTGGCCAGGGTCTCCAGGGGCATGGGGAGTGGGGAGCAGGAGAGGAGGAGTGGGTGCACCTGGAGGAAGGGGTTCACGTCCTCGCCATCGTCCCCGTAGCAGGGCAGCAACCGGCTCCCCGTGTGCGCCGCCTGGTGCCCCTTCAGCTCCTTCCGCTGGCTGAAAACAAGGCCGCACTCGGTGCAAGGGTACACGCGCTCCACCGTGTGCGTCAGGTGGTGAGTCCGCAGGTTCCCCTTGTATTTGAAGCTCTTCCCGCACTCCGGACAGGCGAAGGGCCGCTCCCCGGTGTGGATGCGCCGGTGCTTCATCAGGGTGGTCTTCAGGTTGAAGGTCTTGCCACACTCGCCGCAGACGAAGGGCCGCTCGCCCGTGTGGATGCGCTGGTGGGTGACAAGGGTGCCCTTGCGGTTGAAGCTCTTCCCGCACTCGGCGCAGGCGAAGGGCTTCTCCCCCGTGTGGATGCGCTGGTGGGTGACAAGGGTGGCCTTGCGGTTGAAGCTCTTCCCGCACTCGGCGCAGGCGAAGGGCTTCTCCCCCGTGTGGATGCGCTGGTGGGTGACAAGGGTGCCCTTGCGGTTGAAGCTCTTCCCGCACTCGGCGCAGGCGAAGGGCTTCTCCCCAGTGTGGATGCGCTGGTGCTTGATCAGCTCCCCATTGTGGCTGAAGCTCTTCCCGCAGTCGGCGCAGGCGAAGGGCCGCTCGCCCGTGTGAATGCGCTGGTGCCGCGTAAGGTCCCCGTTGCGGCTGAAGCTCTTGCCACACTCCGAGCAGCCAAAGGGCCGGTCCCCCACGTGGATCTTCTGGTGGAGGAGGAAGGTCTTCCTGGCGCAGAAGCCCTTGCCACACTCCCCGCAGACGAAGGGCCGCTCGCCCCGGTGGATCTTCTGGTGGGTGACAAAGTTGGCCTTGCGGTTGAAGGCCTTGCCGCACTCGGCGCAGGCGAAGGGCTTCTCCCCCGTGTGGGTGCGCTGGTGGAGGACAAAGGTCTGCTTGGAGCAGAAGCTCTTGCCACAGACAGTGCACTCGAAGGCCTTCTCCCCCGTGTGGGTGCGCTGGTGGAGGACAAAGGTCTGCTTGGAGCAGAAGCTCTTGCCACAGACAGTGCACTCGAAGGGCTTCTCCCCCGTGTGGGTGCGCTGGTGGAGGACAAAGGTCTGCTTGGAGCAGAAGCTCTTGCCACAGACAGTGCACTCGAAGGGCTTCTCCCCCGTGTGGGTGCGCAGGTGGCGCATCAGGTCCCCCTTCTGGCTGAAGCTCTTCCCGCACTCTGCGCAGGGGAAGGGCTTCTCCCCCGTGTGCACCCGCAGGTGGGTGGCCAGGTTGCCCCGGTGCTGGAACCGCTTCCCACATACGCTGCAGGCAAAGGGCCGCTCGGCAGCATGGCTCTTGGCGCGCCGGTGGGCCTCAGCTGCGCCAGAGACTAGCAAGGCCAGCTTTTCCACAGCACCGCCGGATCCTCCGGGTGCAGACGCCGGGGCCGGGGCCGCATCCCGAACCCCAGGGGTGCTGGTCTGCGCCCACTGAGCAGCGTTGCGCTTCCTCTTGGAGGAGCCCTGGGAAGGAGTCTCTTCCGCTCTCTTTCGGCACGGCTCCTGTCCCACCTTCCTGCTCGGCATGTCGGGACTCAGCTCCAAGCAGCCAACTGGCAGAGAAGAGAGAAGAGTTAGCGGGACGACCTCGGGCATGAATGCAACGCAGCGTTCTGATGCTGGTTGGTAAAGTTGCCAACAAGATGCCCAAATAGGGAAGAAAGAAAATGCAAACAGTTAATGCAACAAGCGCTGGGGAAAGACCAACCGAAAGGTTGGCAGTGCCACTGGGAAAGATAATTTCACGCTCTTACTAAGAAAGGAGAATTCAAATGCCACTCTGTGAGCCATATTGGTCCCAGACAGTGAGAAACAAATGGGGGGGAAGGGGAACGTGGCAAAGGGCCCTGGTGGCAGAAAAGAGGGCAGAAAGTGGAACAGGATCCCTGCCCACCAGCAGGACAGCCTGGTTCCACTCAGCACCCGCTTGCTACTTGGCTCCTGCTTCCAGCGTCAGGCCTGCCTCTTTCGAAGCACCTTGGCGTCTCTGTGGCTCTGGTTAAGTCTGTTTTACCTGCTCCGGGGGGTGGGGGGGGCTTTGCTTTAGATTGAGGGATCTGCAGACAGCTGATTCTCCTTGAGGTCAGCAGCCCAAAGTCTTGACCGCTAAGCAACGCCTGTCACACCCTCCGTCCCCTCCTGATGGCTCACGTCCCAGGCATGCCCAGGCAGGGGCCCACGTTGGCATCTCCTTTATCAACCCCCCTTCCAGTTTCCATCTGCCTGACGTGTGGGGCTCTAGTTTCATGGGGTCTTATCAAAATGTGCCTGCTAGACCACTATTTATGTCAACAGAAGTAATTCGATCTTTTGCTCAACATCCTTTCTCTCCCTGTTCATCTTTTCTGTTCAGCATGCATGAATATACTTTGCTTCTGCATTTCCTCTTTCTTCCAAATCGCTGGCCTTTACCTAAGTGGAAGGGGAGAGCCCCGGAGTCCCCCGCTTGACCCACAGGGCTACGATCAGCACTGAACACTCCCACCACCGCTACCCAGGCTGTAAACAGAGAGGGGAAGGGGCTTGAGGGGGTTGGGGCTCTGGTTGGGCAGATAAGCCCCCCTTTGAAACTCGGGGGGCCTCTCAACGCCCACTGGACGTCTTTGGTCTTGACTATCTGTGGCAAGCAAGCGCACCCCTCTCCTTCAGCTTAGCCACGCTGTGGGTCAATACTGTTTTAAACCAAGTGATCGGCATTGATTAGGGGTGTCTCCCCAATAGGGTGAAAAAGCCAGGATGGCACCCACTGGAGTGCGACTGACTGCTTTTGATGCACAGTGCCTCTGCCTTTCAGCAGCTACTCCCAGAGGAAAGGTGCCTCACCAGAACCCCCTGGGTCTCCCAGAGAGGGGCCAACTCACCCAGGGCAGCAGGACTAGGGGCTGGGGCCTGGGCTGGGGAGCAGCTGAAGCCCCTCCCCTCCTCCTCCTCCGGCTCCATCTTCACAATCACGTCAGGCTTGGTGTCAGCTGGGGGCAGGAGGAAAGGGGTCGGTCAGCGAGGGGGGGAACGGGGATAGCATCCCAGGTGGGGAACAGCCACCAGGCCCCGCTGCTCCTCCCTCTGCTCTGCCTCGGAAGAGCACATCCCAGCCCCTTCTGGAGGCCGCCGCAGAACGAGAACCGACCGGCCAACTCACAGGAGTCTGTGCTGTCCCCGCTGGACTCCCCATCGCTGTCCCCCCAGGGGCCCGCGCTGTACAAACTGTCCTCCGGCTCCTTCTTGATCACCATCTCTGGCCCGATCCCTGAAACAAGAGGTGCCAGTCTGTTCCCGCTGCCGTGCCCTCTTCCTCTCTCTCCCAGCAGCCCCCGAGGCCTGGGTGCCACACATCCGAGAGGACCGGGACCACACCAGGAGCAGGCGTCAGGTGCCAATCTGGCATCTCTCATCAGGCTACCCGGTGGCAGAGGATACCCAGCCACCAGATGCCAGCCTTTGGGGGGACTCTGGTGCGTCTCTTCAAGCTGGGATGCCTTCTTACCCACGTATGCAAACACCACCCCAGGGCTCCAACCCTGCCCACGGGCAGGCACTCTGCCAGGAATGAGCAGGGCCCCAATCCCACCCTGGCACTACGTGGGGCAGCCAATGCAACTGAGTCTCCAGCTGAGGCTTCTGGGATCCAGCAGCTTCCAGGGGTCAAGTGCAGCTGTTTGCACTGAGAAACATTAACTGTGGAATCAGAGAGTGGTGGAGGTGGGTGATCAGCTCATCCCGCCCCCACAACGCGCAAGGAAAGCCCTGGAACCATCCCCGAGGGGTGGCTGCCCAGCCTCTTCTTCAGTCGCCCAGAGATGGAGGACCTACACTCTCTGCAGGCAGGCGATTCCACCGGTCTATGGGTCTCACCCTCAGGAAGACTGCCCTAGACTTAAATCCAGGAAGCTGCAATTCTGCCCATTATTCCGGTCCTAGTTTTGATGGCTATAGAGATCTTGCACAACAGCACACCCGTGCTGCTTCCAAACGCTCATGCTTTCAAATGGGGCAGACCCATTCCAGAACACGACCCAAGGGGAGGCGACCCACACCTGCAAACCTCTCAGCTGCACCAGCTGTCCTTGCAGACGCTGGACTCCAGCAACGTCTCTCCCCGACGTTATTGATTTATCTATTAAATTCAGAAGGCTGCCCGGCTCCCAAGTGACTCTGGGCGCCTCCCGTGGTTAAAGAAAGCAAGCAAAAAGCGGAGGACATGCATGTCCAGACAGAACCGCCCGCGGCACTACCAAGGAAAACCGCCCTGTCTCTAAAGGCTGGAGGAACCCTTGTGGGGTGGGAGCCGTATGAGTGGGGAAGCTGTTCCAGGGGGCGGGCTCCGCAACAGCGAAGGTCCATCGTTGGGGCCCAGCCAGGGAACTAGGAGGGACCCGGAGTGCCCCCACTCTGCCTGATCGTGCCAGGCAGGCAGAAATGATTGGAGCTGCGTGGTCGGCAGATAACCAGGCCTTTGCCACGCAAGGCTTTATCGGCTGAGAGGACAGGTTCAGGGGCCGGAAGGGGCAGGAGTGCAGCTTCCCCACACGTTCTCGGGGCAGGAAGGCCAAGGATCCCCACTGGGGCTGATGGGAGGGAGCAGGGACAGCAGCCCTGAAGCACAGCCTTCCTTGGTCTCCCTGGAGCCACGACGGCGAAGGGCCAGCCCCAGGAAGAGCAAGCTGGATGCCAGGGCGGCTTTCCCACCCAGGAGGGTCTGCAACAGCCTTGGCTTGGCACGCAAGGGCAACGTTTCAAACGGTCTCTAAAATTTGGGGGCCACGCAAGAGGCCCGAAGGGTGACCCTCGTGCGCATGTCATGGCGAACCACTAAGGTCTATGACCATGAAACGGGGGGAACCCGGTCCAGCCAGACACCAGAGCTTAAACCTAGAACACATAGGGGGGCTCCCTTCATGTTAACCGCTGTACCCTGGAGAAAAGGAGCTTTGTAGAGCTCCTGGGCTCTCCGTCCCCAAGGGAGCACGCTGAATCCTCTTACCTGCTCTGGGACTGGAGGGCAACAGCCTCCCTGCCTCTGCCAGGCCTTGCGGGCATCCGATGTGCAGCTCCTCCCCTGGCTCCTCTTTCACTGCCACCTCCTGCCCAGCATAAGCCCGCCTGGCCCCTGGAGGGAGGGAGCCACAGTCAATGGCACCGGGGCCACCCTACATTCCTTGTCTCCCCCACTCCCACTCCCACCCGAGGCCAGGGTGCCAAAATCCATGCAATGCCCAGCAAAGCAGATAGAGCTGGCTTTGAGTCCCCAGCCCACCCAGCCTTGTGGGGAGGCTTCTTCCCCCCCCCCCCCGGGCAGGGCAGCAGCCAGGATCCCTCCTCACTCCTCTGCCTCTCCCCCCAGCAGATTGTGGGGGTCTGCCAGACTCGGAAGCCCCCTTCTCCAAGAAGACTGAGTGAAGCTCAATCCCTGCCAAGGGGAAGGGAAGGGGGAATGTGGCACCGCAGGGCACCCCAGAGAGAAAGAGGCCCCACTCCACCTCCCTTGAGGGACCTCAAAGCAAAGCCAACAGAGCGAGGCTGAGAGTGGGCACCACGATCTCCTCTCCGCATCAAGCAACAGGCCGGGGGGGGGGGGGACAGTGGGGGGCACAGCACTCCTCTCTCTCCCCGTAGGCAGACCTAGGCCTGCTTGCTGATCAAGTCCTTCCCACTGACCACTCCCTCCCCAAGGGGCACCCAGCCCCTCTCCTCCGGGAAAGGGGCCTCTGTGTCGGCCAGAGAGGCCAGTCCTGCCGTGGGGTGACCGCAGGGCAGAGGGGCTGCAAGGGGCCAAGGACCAGTGAAGAAACCAGCAAGGCCAGGGAGACGGGCCAAGGGAAAGTGCCACCCCAGCCCACTGAGGAGGAGGAGGAGAAGGAGGCGCTTCCAACCCGGGCAGTGTGAAGTCAGTGGCTCTGCCAGACGCAGAGGGGATAGTCCCGCCCTTCAGGGGACTGGCTGGACGGGCCTCCCTCTGTCTCCTGGCTGCGCTCCCGCATCTGCACCGACCCAACTCCAAGGTGTGCTGTGAGGGGATCCAGCGGTCGCTCACCCGGGCTGGCAGGGTCAGGCCCTGGCCCCGTGGCCTCCATCGTCTCACTGTCGGGTGTCCTGCCTCTCTGACAAAGAGCTGAGCTTTACATCAGCGCAACCTGCCAGGGCGGGGGAGATGGCATGAAATGAAGAAGGACAAAGCCAAGGAGAGGGTCTCCATCTCGCCCTCACCCCCAGAGACAACCAGCATGTTTTGCAGGCAGGCCCAGGACATAAGAGCCCAGCATCTGGAGCTGGGCTGGCTCTGAGCTGAACTCACCCTAGCTGGGTCTTGCAGGGTCTCTGAGCAGCCCCCTGCCTCCCGCAACCTCTGCTGGCAGACGACACCCGCTGCAGGACGCGCGGCAGGCCCATGCCACGCTCACCAGGGAGGGCAGCGGAGACAGCAGCCACACCGGTTGTGGGACCACTTCCCAGGGACGCAGCGGAGCAGCCGGGGGCCGTTCTCACGCGGGGGCTGCTGGGGCCGCCGAGGAGGGAGCACGGCCCGCTTTCTTGCCAGGGGGCCGGGCTG